GTGGCCCTACTGCCCTCGCGGACCGCCGAGGACACGCAGAGGAGAAGGCTCAGCTCCCGCCTCGTGGGTGGCTGGGAAGGCGGAACTTTCTTTTGCCCTGGATTTTGGAATTTTCCAAAGGAGAAAAGTCAGTGCGCCTTACCTTTATAGTCAGAGAATGATGAAATAGACTCCGTGCTTTTGGAAACATGCTAGGGAGATTTAGGGATGTCCCTGTCGTCAGAGGTGTTTGCCAGCATCTGGATCCGAAGGAGCTGAGTTCCAGGAGGTGCTGGGGGGCCCCTCTCGTCTACCGGAGCCCCCTGAGCCCAGGGCGGGAGGAGAGAGGGCACGTCTAAGTATGCGTTGTGAACTCTCTGCAGAGTTCATGCCGTGTGCCCTCTGAGAACCGGACACATGCAGCTGGTGTGTTTGGTACCCGCAGTTGCTCTCCTTCTTCCAAATACAAGACCTGGGGTCTCTGACCCTCACCACCGTTCTACCTGCGGGCCAGTGCCAGGTCTGCGGTCTGGGAGGCCAGCCCCCCAGAGGAAGCTTGTCTTCTCTCTCTTTCTCTCTCTCTCTCTCTCTCTCTCGTTTTTTTGAGTCAGTCTCACTCTATCTTCCAGGCTGGAGTGCAGTGGCATACTCAGGGCCACGGCAGCCACGACCTGCTGGGCTCAGGCGATCCTTCCGCCTCAGCCTTCCAAGTAGCTAGAACCACAAGTGTGTGCCACCACACCCCGCTAATTATCTATCTATCTATCTATCTATCTATGTACCTATCTATTGTAGAGACGAGGTCTCACCAAGTTGCTCGGGCTGGTCTCAAATTCCTGGACTCAGGCAGTCTGCTTGCCTCTGCCTCCCGAAGGGCTGAGGTGACAGGCATGAGCCACCGTGCCTGGCAGAAAGCTTGTCTTCTCTTAGGGCTTGGTGCTTTCTGTGAGGCCGAGTACACAGTCTTGGGGAGGGGCAGCATTCTGCATTACAGCCTGAGGACAGTGATTCTCAGCCCTGGTGATGTTGTCCCTCAGCTGACATTTGACAGCGTCTGGAGACATTCCTGGTTGTCACAGCTAGAGGAGGCTGCTGGCATCTCGTGGGTGGAGGCCAGGGCTGCTCAGAGTCTTAACAGCCCCTAACAAGTACCCTGTTCGTGCCCGGGCTAGGTGAGGTTGGGCTTCTATAACTTCTAGAAAAGAGAAGGCAAGACGTCAGTGTCTTTCTCACATTTATTATGATTTCACACACACGTAACATTGCATATCGTTGCTGTTATCACTATTCTCTCAACTGGAAGAGCAGACACATACAGACTGAAATCAGAAAATGTCCGTCATTCTTCTCAGACGTTGTTGGGAGTGTTAAGTCTGTCTTCATCATTTTGACGAGTTTTTAGTTTCTGCCTCTTTCGACATAACTTCTGAGTCACGTCTAAAGAATAAAGAATAGTTTGCCGAGAACAGCAGGGAAACAGCCAGTCCAGGGAGACGCACAGACACGTTACGCATTAAATCCTTGGGCCTTCAAGATGGAAAAGGGCCAACAAGGTGTTGAAAGCCTGAAGAAAAGGAGGGGGTGGAGAAATGAACAGAGAATTTAAAGATGGAAGTGAATTAAGACAGCACTGGGCCAGTCACGGTGCCTCATGCCTGTAATCCCGGCACTTTGGCAGGCTGAGGTGTGAGGACTGCCTGAGCTCAGGGGTTGGAGAACAGCCTGGGAATCATATGAATGAGACCTCAGTTCTGCAATAAATCAGAACATCAGCCGGGCATGGTGGCAGCACGTATAGTTCCAGCTACTTGGGAGGCTGAGGTGGAAGGACCGCCTGAGCCCAGTGGGTTGAGGCTGCGGTGGCCGCGAGTGTGCCACTGCGCTCCAGCCTGGGTGACAGAGTGAGACCCTGACTCAAGTAAATAGATACATAACTAACTAACTGAATAAATAAAAATACCATTATCAACCTCATCAATTGTTTAATTTGCCAGTTACAGAAAAGTTTATTAAATTTAAAAACCATTTAAACATTGTAAAAATATTAAAACTAAAATTTTGAATTTTGATAAAACATTAAATTTTTAAGAAGTGAGACTTTTCTCCCTGGGCAAGAATGTCTTCATAGTATAACGACGGCTGAGACAGGCAGTCACAGACTAAACGTCAGTGGCACCCAGGTCCTCTCAGAAGGGGCGTGTCGCCCGCCAGGAGCTGGGGCGCCGCCAGGTGGGTCCCTGCGGCGACCCCTCCCGCTGGAGACTGCTTCTCCATGCGGAGCGCGCGGAGGGCCTGGAGGCCCCAGGTCCCGGACGTTCGGAGCGTCTGCTCTGCAGAGGTTCTGGCCTGAGGGACTGACGACCTTTCTTCCTCCCCAGACTGAAGCCGCCGCGAGCCAGGAAGATGCTGGACGAAGGGGTCGTGGTGGCTCTGGGCAGCGACTTCAACCCTAACGCGCATTGCCTCTCCATGGTGAGGCTCTCCCCCAGCCCCCCCGCAGTTTCCGCCCAGCACAGAGATAACTTAAAAAGATTCTGCCTGTTAAAAGGTATTGGAAGATCTAAAACTATTTCTCTGTAAAGCAAGAGAAAAGGGGTAGACAGTAGTGTGACCGGATTTTCTGCACCACGGAAATACCTCCAGGCACGGGGCTTCCGTGGTGTGATTGTCTGATGCAGCTGGGACCCTCGTGGTTTTACAATGGCCCGTTTCCTGTCTCCAGAGAACAGCAGGTGCCCCCACAGACTTAGGTTCGGGCGGAGGCGGGGGGGCTTCGCCATGCACTGTGGATGTCTTGAGGAATTGTCAGCAACATTAAATACACACTCTCTATGATAAAGGAATCCCAGGTTGGGTGTGGTGGCTCAGCCCCGTAGTCCCAGTACTTTGGCAAGGAAGGGAGGATCTCTTGAGTCTAGGAGTTCAAGACCAGCCTGGGCAACATCGCAAGACCTTGTTTCTACCAAAAAATCAAAAAATAGCTGGGTGTGGTGGTGTGGGCCTGTAGTCCCAGCTACTCAGGAGGCAGGGGCCAAAGGATTGCCTGAGCCCAGGCAGTCAAGGTTGCTGTGAGCCCTGATCAAGCCACTGCACTCCAGCCCGGGTGAGAGAGACCCTGAGTTGATCCATACATACACAAGGATAAAAATTAAAAGCAGTAATAAGGGAGTCTCTTCCAAAGCTCAGGAACTTTTAGGCGTTAAGTTGAGGCTTCCCCCTGGCAAGGGACTGGCTCTCTCGTGCCTGTCCCCACCTTTGCCCGCTGGGCCGTGTTGAGAAGCATCCTCAGTCGTGGTGACACTCGGCACTCTCCCCCCGCCCAGCCGATGGTCATGCATCTGGCCTGCGTGAACCTGGGAATGACCATGGACGAGGCCCTGGCCGCCGCCACCATCAACGCGGCGCACGCGCTGGGCAGATCTCACACGCACGGCTCCTTGGAGGTTGGCAAGCAGGGCGACTTTGTTGTCATCGGCGCGTCCAGGTGAGCGTGCGCCCGCTGAGGCTTGTGGGTGGGTTCACGTCCTTTTCCGCGGATGGCCAGGGCCAGGCTGTGTCCAGACGCAGACGTGATCCGGCCGCCTCTGTCGTGGTCCCTCTGCCACCTGCGAGTTAAGTGCGAGCCCCATGCTGCCAGGCAGACGCCGCCAGATCTCGGTCACCTTCCCCGTGTTGCGTCCGGACATGTGCCTGCTCCCCTGCCTGGCTGCCGACTCTCCGTTTGCGTCTCTCCCGCACCTGCGGGAGCTGGCCTCTCCCACACCTGCGGGAGCTGGGCCTCAAGCCTGGTGCCCTAGGTTCTGGTTTCTCACTCTCCCCAGTCTGTCGCCACCGGGACCTCCTGTGTGACGATCTGGGTCTCATGGGTCTGCACCAACAAGCTGTGGATCCTGTGATCCTTGACTGTCACGTGCCACGGCCGCCCTGGGACCTTGTGTCCATGGAGGAGAGTGGGTACCTGGGCTCTTCTGGCTCAGAACCCGGCCTCTGCGTTCCGCATAGCACTGGTGACGCCATCCGTGGGACACGTAGGGAAGCAAATGGCTTGAGATCGGTGCTTACACAACGTGATTAGACAGTGTTTGATTTGTCATAGACTAGCTATTTGGACACCATTTTCTAGGAAGCCCAAGTGACTGGGCATAGAGCAATGCTTAGAGTAGGCACTTCACAATGAGCATTTATTAAGAAAGCCAAGCCGGGCGCGGCGGCTCAGCCTGTAATCCCACGCCTTGGGAGGCTGAGGTGACTGGATTGCCTGATCCCACGGGTTCGAGACCCCCTGGGCAACTTGGTGAGACTTCATCGCTACAAAAATCAAAAAGGTTAGCTGGTGTGGTAGCATGCACCTGTAGTTCCAGCTACTTGGAAGGCTGAGGCAGAAGGATCACCGGAGCCCAGCAGGTCGAGGCTGGGTGACAGAGTGAGACTCCAGTCTGGGTGACAGAGTGAGACTCCAACTCAAAAAAGAAGAAAAAAAAAGAAAGTCATCACTGACTCGCACTCACTGAAGTGATGTTTGATCTCTTTCTAGGTGGGAGCATTTGATCTACCAGTTCGGAGGCCACCACGAATTGATCGAATATGTCATCGTTAAAGGAAAAGTCATTTATAGAAATGACAGCTCTGAGAACAAAGAGAAGACCCCTTGACTATATGAATCGGGATGGTGATGTTAAAAGTTAGAGCACCTTAGTACTTTACCAGAATTATGTCACTTAAACCCAAATGGATTTCAGGACCTTGTTAATCCACTCAAAAACCCCATGGGATTGATTTATGCTAATTTAACGTGTGCGCCTGCCGCTTAAACGGGGAGCCCCGCTGGGATGGTCACGCCCAAACATTCAGCTATTTCCCGAACAGTGCTATGCATTTTCTGGAGATTACTATGACGAGGTGTCAGGACAATGCCTCCACGGGGAGCAGCAGACTTGGCTTGAAATGTCCCCTCATGTCCCCAGCTGTCAGGGTTGAAGCTGAACTTGGCCAACTTGGGGGTGGAAGAAGGTCCGAGTGATGCCCGTGAGGCGAGGACGGCGCCTTCCTCAGTCCCACGCGGCACCTTCCCTCCCACAGCCTCTTTCTGGAGATGAGTGTCCCCCGACGAGGAGGACACTGCGCTTCTAAAGTCCCTTGCCCTGCCGTGATGCCCACAGCAGAGCTGAAGGCATGTCGTTCTGAGCCAGGTTCAGGGGCCTCCGCTCATGGGGGGTTTTGGCCACATCCAATCATGTGATTTTTCTGGAAATCATTTTTAATCCTTCACATTGACAAATGGACAAAAACTACTTCCCAGATCTCAATAAATACCTGCTGTCGCACTTACTGCTGTGGGTGTATTTCCCCTCACCCCGGAAAGCCAGCAGTGCTATGTGTCAGGGTTTCTAGGGGGTGAACAAGTGACAGCATCTTTCATCAAGAGTGGACAATTATGTGCGTATAAATGGGTGTGTTTCCAAAGCCACGTGAGTGTACAGAAGCCTTTTCAAACGTTCCCGCCATCTTTACAACTACAGCTGCAACACCAAACTTTGTTCTATGAATGAAGAAATGATTTGAGAAGCAAACATTGGCTCTCCAAGTCATCGCCTATTTCAGGTTCCCAGAACCTGAATTAATGAGGCTGTGCTGTATTCCATGCAGATCTCAAGCCAGAATTTCCCTCCGGGGAGGTTGGGAGTGGTCCTGCACACTGGTGTCACATGCTGGGGTCTCTGAGCTCTTCCCTCGGTGACTGCTGGAGTCTTGAGGGTGTGAGGCACATGGTGGCTGTGGGTGACGCCTGCCCTGTGGCAGTCGCTTAGTCGGGGGGGGGGAGAGGGAGAGTGTTTGGGTGCAGGAGAAGGTTTTAAAGACCAAAACTAAAGGGTGTGTCTGCCCCAGAGCCCTGGCCGCAGGACCACGTCATGTCTAAGGAACAAGATGGCAAAACGCTCCTGTTTTTCTTCTAGGAGACATTTGCTCTAAGCCACTAGTGTTCCTGCCTGTGTTGAATTAAAGCAGAAGAGGGTATCCAAGCTGGGAGCAGTGGTTCACGCCTGTAACCCTAGCACGTTGGGAGGCCGAGGCGGGAGGGTCGCTTCAGGTTGGGAGTCGGAGACAATCTGGGCAGCATAGCAAGACCCTGTCTCTACAAAAAGTAAAAATATCAGCCAGGCATGGGCGTGGGCACCCGCGGTCCCAGCATTTGATGGCGGAGGCAGGAGGATGGCTTAAGCCCAGGAGTTCGGGACCACAGTGAGCCATGATTGTACCACTGTGCTCTAGCTGGGCCTCAGAGGAACGTGCTGAGCCAGAATCTGCATCTTCGCCCCCCGGGGACTCTGCGGTCTGGGTCCTGCTCACACGGCCCCGCACACAGCGCCCGTACACGCCCTCTGCCCACACTGCCCTGCGCACACAGCCCGGCTCACACCCTCCTGACACGCCCCCTGCTAACACCCTGTTGCACCTCCCCCACGCACACACCCCCCTCACATGCCGCTCTGCACACACTGCCCTGGACCCACACCCGTGCTCACCCTCTCTTGCACACACTGCCCTGCACGCTCGCCGCTGTCACACACGCCACCCTTTCACACCCCTCTGCACCCCCCCACACTGCACACACACTCTGCTCACATTGTCCACGCACACCACACTCTGCTCACATTGTCCACGCACACCCCTGCTCACACCACCCTTCACGCACTGCCCTGCTGGGCACACACGGCCTTTCACCCTGCCCTACACACACGGCCCTCCTCACAACACCCTGCTCACACCTGTCTCACACTGCCATGCTCACACTTATTTGCTCACACTGCTCTGCTCACACCTCCCTGCACACATCTCTCCACTCACACTTTCCTACTCACAAAAGCACGACCACTTGAAGACGATGCATGCCCATGACCATGGGGGCCAGACCTCAAACTCACTCATGTGACTGGACATGCGAACACACATTTGCATGCTTGAACATTTGCAACTTGAAGGTTCTTATGTAGGGGACTCACTGGAACGCCAAAGCAGGTGATGCCATGGGGAGGAAGGTGTGGAAGGAAAACCAAGCCCAGAAGCCATCACAGGGTGGCAGCTGCAGCTTCAGCTTTGCAGGGTGGGCAAGGTCTGGATGTGAGGGGAAGGCTCCAGGTGGCCTGTCCTCCTGGAGTGGGACACTGGTGGGGAGCCGGGGCTCCACCGTCGGGCTGGTGGGATTTCGCCACCTCGAACTTCAGGCTCACAGCTGGAATTCATGCTCAAGGCCAGGGAAGCCAGTGAGGCTTCTGCACAGAGCAGCACAGGGCAAGGGTGCTGCAGAAAGCCCAGTTCAGCCCGAGAGTGCACAGCAGGCCCTGCTGTGTGAACTTACTCTGGCGAGAGACCCGCAGGCTGACCAAGGCCCCTGGTGGGGGTGAGGGAGAGTCACGTGCAGGCGTCCAGGCATGTGGCCTTCGTGACAGCCGTGAGGTGTGCAGACCCGGCCTTCTCCACTCGGCACCATGCTCCACAGGGGTCTAGGCTCACCCTTCTTCCCTCAACCTTTCTTTTTCTTTTTAAGCCGTGGTGCTGCTCAATCTTGTCTCGGCCTTTTAACATGAGCAGCCCATCACAGCAGGAGGATTAAATGAAGCGTAAGACTGTGAGGGCAGCTTGAGGTTCGGAGGCCACAGACCAGGTCACGTGTGAGACACTTTTTGCCTCCCGGCTTTCCTCCCCTCGGGGCACCCTCGCTGGGGTGCTGGCATCAGATGCCAGGGAGGGCCGGCCAGGCCACCGGGCACCCTACTGGAGACGTGTCCGGGCGGTGATTTCTGCTTGGGCGTTCATCTGTGCAATGTCACGCTTGGTTCCCTCCACTTCTGAGATTCCGGCTCTAACCCAGGCCCTGCCTTGCAGGGACCGACACTCCAGTCAGGGCAGATGCCAACAGACTCAGGCCGGGCCACTCAGGCTGGGCAGGCCTGCTCTCTGGGGAGACGGGCACTCTGGGGAAACACACGCAGTTTCTCACGTAAATGAGTTTTGCCAGATTGTCCACAGAGCACGAGCATCTTGGTCTTCCTTTTTTTTGAGTTGGGGCTTTTACTTTGTCAATCAGGCTGGAGTTCAGTGGCATGATCATGGCCCCTGCAGCCTCAAACTCCTGGGCTTGAGTGAGCCTCCTGCCTCAGTTTCCCAAGTAGCCGAGACCACAGCCGTGCACCACCACACCTGGCTAATTTTATTTTTTGTGAAGACAAGGTCTCGCTGACGCTGAGCCTCGGCCGATGTTTGTTTTTTGCCCCTTCCCTCTGATTCCCATCCTGCAGAGCCTGGCTCGGTCTCCTCTTCCAGGAGGCCCCTGTGGCCCCACAGTGGTGGGGCTGCTCCGCCTCTCTCTGGGCGCGGTGCTTTTCAGAATGGGTCCCCAGGCCTTGAAACGGGCCCACACTGATCACCGACACCCTCAGCCCCACACACACAGTGGCCGCGCTAGGTGGGACGCCCTGGCCGCAAGGATCTGCAACCGACGGACATCGACTTGGAAAAATAAGGAAGTCGGCCAGGCATGGTGCTCGTGCCTATAATGCCAGCACTTTGGGAGGCTGAGGCCAGGAGTTCGAGACTGGCAACATAGACCTCGCCTCTACAGAAAATGCACATCCTTAGCTAGGCATGGTGGCACACACCTGCGGTCCCAGTTACTCAGGAGGCTGTGGTGGGAGGATTGCTTGAACCCAGGAGTTTGAGGTTGCAGTGAGCTATGATCATGCCAGTGGGAGACAAAAAGACCCTCTCTCTCTCTCTTTCTCTCCCTCTCTCTCTCTGTGTGTGTGTGTGTGTGTGTGTGTGTGTGTGTGTGTGTGTATGGAAGTTTACCAGCTGATGTGGGAAATTCAGACACAGGGCGGGCTTCAGGACTGGTATCTGGAAGCTCAGGAATGTGTCAACCCAGGCTGTCCCCCTCCCTTCCACGTCTCCCGGGGTCACGCCACCTCAGCCGGGCTCTGCTTGGGCCTCTGAACAGCCGCAGGCGCATGCCCTTCCTCGTGGGCCAAGCAGGCCCTGGAGAAAGGGCCTCCACAGCCCTCGGGAGACGAGGCGGCTCAGAAGCCTCCAAACGCCGCCTCCCTCCTTGGCCAGGTCCGTCCGGCCCTCTCTCGAGCCCATCTCTAGCAGAGGGAAGGACCGTCCCGGGCGGCTGGGGCCACTCTCCAAGCCGCAGCTTCATCCTCCAGAGTTTCCCAGCGTTTTCACTTAGCACACGAGTGCCGTCGAAGGTGGCCCCAAGAGCAAACCCTCTGTGCTGCTTATGAGACAACCTGGACGCGGAGTGAAGAGAAATGAGTCCCGCGACCAAACTCCGGAATACGGCCCGGTCTTGAAGCGGCACGAAGGGGCCTTTCCCCCATGTGCCCGTCTTGCGTGAGGTTGGATGTGGGTGGCGGGTTGGCAGGTGGAGGCCCTCGAGGACCCCTAGCCACACGCCCGTGCCGCAGGGTGTTAGGGAATGTGGCACGGTACGCCTGCCAGGTGGCCCTTTCCAGGGAGGGAGCCCCCACGCGAAACCCAACACCCCAACTCTCCCGGTCTGCTCCGTGGGAGGGAAGTGTCCGGAGCCGGTCTGCTTCCTGCAAGGCACCAGCCTTGGCCAACGAGTCTTCCAGAAGCGTGACTAGCTGTCCCTGGCACAGCCGTCCCCAGGGAGCGCTCGCCGTGGCCCACAGCTCTGAGTCTAAATGACACCAGGAAGCAGCTGGGCGGTTCCTCTGCCTGCACGCGCCCTGGGAGCCCTGCAGTGTCAGTTCTCACAGAGGAAAGCTGGGGACAGAGCATCCTTGTGACTGGAGGACTGTGGCGGAGGGGAGTCTGATGAGCTCCACCGCCGGCGGCTCAGGCATGAGATGGCACAGAAGCCCCGTGTGTGTCCACGTGTCCAATAACAGCATGAGGGCAGCATCCGGGAAGCTCCCAGCACATCTTGTGCTCCCTGACTGCTGCGGGCGGTGGTTTGCCCCTGGGCTTCCACCTCTGGGGGCAGGGTGGGCCTGAAGAGTGTCGCCCGATGGCGAAATGCTGCAGCCCAGGTTAGGCCAGGACGTCAGGCGAGCCGGCAGGCATGTGTCTGGACCACCCCTGTCCCCATGTGCCACGGCCCACGCCCTGTGTGGGGGTGCCGGCACACGCGGGCACAGTGGGGTGCGAAGCCATAGATCTCGGGCTTGGGAAGCTGAGAGGTCGCTTGACCCACCCTCACCCAGACTGGGACACCTGAGGCCCCTTATCTTCGTGGGGAGAAAACAGATTGGGTAACACCCCAGGGTCAATAGGGCTCATTTTAATGATTAGCCTTGGGGGCTGGCCAGACCCACAGGCGCCTCCACCTGGGAAATGAGCAGCGTCTAGGGGGCCGCTGCAGGAATGTGAGCAGAGAGCAGCACCCAGGAAGTGAGAACACCGACTTCAAACCCTGACTCACGCGCGTGACTCAAGGGGACGGTCAGGAGACAGGAAACACAGTCAACAAGGCAGCTCACACAGCAGTCTTTATGCTCACCCTGACTCCCCTCCACGGAGGCCTCTTGTGGCCTCCGGCAGCCCTGCCTTGAGTGGCTTAAGACCTGCTGCTGTTCTTAACTAGATTCAGTGGCTAGGAGAAAGCGGCTTCAGGGCGAATGACGGCTCAGAGTGGCCATTTATGGAGGCGTGTGGAGGCAGACGGCGGCACAGCAGACCAGCCAGTGAAAGCCTGCTGCCTGAGAGCTCACCAGGAAGTCAAAAGGAGAGCGCGGGTTGCAGAAGCCCAGTGTTTTGGGAAAGGATGCTTCTGAGCTGTTTCCAAGTGTGGACTCATCTAACGCAAAGAGTGAAAGACAGGCCGTCCAGTTGTGGTCACCTCCTCCCCCTCGAGGGCGAGTGGGCTGTTCACATCACAAAGAAAGAAGGCTAACTGCTGTCGCCTGAACCCCCCGAGCACCCCACTCCAGGCCCAGCGATGTTGCCCACCCCCAGCCCCACCGATCCCTCTCGGGGTCCATCTGCCCAGGAATGCGCCCGGGCCTGGCCTCAGCACAGCGCTGCTTCTGCTCCACGAACGGCCGCCAGGTCTGCCGCCCGTGACCGAGCCCACTAGAGGTCTTCCGACTCCGGGACTTTGGAGGCTTTCCTGTGCAGAGAGTCCAGGGAGAAGGCCGTGGGCGACACGGGGCGAGATTCTGGAATGTGCTCCGTTCGGTACTTCTCGATGTAGGGCACAGCTACTTCCCAGACCTGAGCGGAGGGACAGAGCAGAGGGGACATGCTGACGACACGATTTCCACATGCCATTATCCAACACCAGCTCTGTCCGAAGTCAAACACCCTCAGTACGGGACCACACTGGCTACTGTTTGCTCGTTTGATGTTGGCCTTTTGGCCTGTGACCTGTGTCCCTTAGTCCCCAGTTGCCTTAAAAGCTTCACTTTATTTTTTATTTTTATTTTTTGAGTCAGGGTCTCACGCTGTCACCCAGGCTGGAGGGCAGTGGCACCATCCAGGTCACCGCAGGTTTGACCTCCTGGGCTCAGGCAATCCTTCTGCCTCAGCCTCCCAAGTAGCTGGGAATCCAGGCATGTGCCACCAAACCTGGCTTATTTTTTTTTTATGTTTTGTAGATATAAGGTCTTGCGATGTTGCCCAGGTTGGTCTCGAGCACCTGCGCTCAAGCAATCCTCCCACCTTAGCCTCCCAAAGTGCTGGCATTACAGGCGTGAGTCACCGTGCCTGGTGCACTAAAGCCTTTAAATATATCAACTCCAAAACTTTTCTAGAGTTACCAGAATGGTTTTCTGTTGCTTACGTATCCAAAGCAACAGCCTAGAGCATTCAGCATGGGCAGAGTTAAGATGGCGGCTCTCATGCCTGCTGGGACCGTGGCTTCCATAGCAAGCCATGAAGGACACGCAGCAGTCCCCTGACTTTCTCTGGCTCTGATTCCATGCCACGGGTGCCCCATTTCTCTGTCCCAGCTATGCCAGTGTCCGCAACCTCTGGGACAAGTCGGCACCTTGACCTCCACCCTGCTGAATTCACCTGCTGAATCCAAATCTGATTTTAACTGTGTGCCCAGTTCACACACATGTGAATGTCTGGGAAGTCTCGCCGCAGATCTCATTCAGTTTTTGCCCCCACCCACCAGCCTCGTCTTTTGAACATGATCTCAAATTAAGGTCCTGGCTGGGTGCGGTGACTCATGCCTGTAATCCTAGTACTTTGGGAGGCCAAGGCAGGAGGATTTCCTGAGCTCAGCAGTTCCAATTCAGCTGGGGCAACATAGTGTGACCCTGTCTATACAGAAAAATTTTTTTAAAAATTGAGTTGAGGTCAGCCATGGTGTCTCAGCCTGTAATCCCAGCCCTTTGGGAGGCCAAGATGAGAGGATTGCCTGAGCCCGGGGGTTCGAGACCAGCCCTGGCAACTTGGTGAGACCTCGTCTCTACAAAAAATCACAAAAACTAGGCTGGGCTCGGTGGCTCAGCCTGTAATCCCGCGCTTTGGGAGGCTGAGGTGAGTGGATTGCCTGAGCCCGCGGGTTCAAGACCCACCTCGGCAATTTGGCGAGACTTCATCTCTACAATAAATAAATTTAAAAAACTAGCCAGGCGTGGTAGTGCGCGCCTGTAGTTCCAGCTACTCGGAAGGCTGAGGCAGAAGGATTGCTGGAGCCCAGCAGGTCGAGGTTGCGGTGGCCGGGAGCAGCCACTCCAGTCTGGGCGACAGAGTGAGACTTCAACCAAAAAAAAAAAGAAAAATCACAAAAACTAGCCAGGAGTGGTGGCGTGTGTCTGTAGTTCCAGCTACTTGGAAGGCAGAGGTGGAAGTATCACCTGAGCCCAACAGGTCGAGGCTGTGGTGGCCGTGAGTAGCGTGCCACTGCACTCCAGCCTGAATGACAAAATGAGACCCCCAACTGAAAAAAAAAAAAGAAAAATTGAGATGAGTCAAATTAAGGCCTGTTTTTGGTCTACAGCTGCTCTCTGCCTGATGGCCGCTGCAAGCCAAGGGGCCGTTCTCGTCCTTGTGAGCAGCCTTGACACGGAGTTCTTTCAAAGGCAAACTCTTCACGCCTCTGGCTGCACCATCGGCAGCAGGTAAGCGACCTCCCACCAAGGCTGCAGGACACAGCAACAACGGGGTGAGGGTCCAAGGGAAACCCCATTCCCCAAGAGCAGAGAGGCTGTTTCAGGGAAATCGAGTGATTCTGGGGAACGTGACGCCTACACACTGTTTCCCAGTTTTAAAGCCTGTAGAAAAGGCAGGAATCCACATGCCAGGCCTCTGCACTCTCTGCGAAGTCTGCGACCCCTGTCACTGGAGGCACCAGCAGGAAGGAAGGCCCACGTTCCCTGGTGAGGTGGAGCGCCGGCAGGTTGGAGGCTCTCTGCAGCCAGCACCCAGGACACCGTCAACTCTCTGGTCTATGCAGCTATTGAGCTGGTGGTGGCGGTGGCTGGGATGGCATCACCAGCAGAGAAAGTGCTGTGGGGAGGGAATCCATGGGCCCGTCCACCCCGCTCTCTCCCCATGAACACTTGTCCCAGCCTCCATCTAAGGTTCTTTTCAGCCTCCAATCCTTAAACAGCTGATGCTTGACTGCACAGGACTCCACCGGCTACTGCCTGCTTGTCCCGTTGGCCGTTTGAGCTGTGACCCATGTCTGTGGCCCCTGTTTGCATCACAGGCACTTCAGGCTTGTCCGATGGCATCTTGGAGGCCCGGCACGTGGCCCAAGTGACTCCTTGCTCGCGTCCAGGGAACAGCCCGGAAGCAGCAGGAAGGACCCGTCTCTCCACCCCCGACCCTCGTAAGACCCCCAGCTTGCCTTCTGCTCCAGGAGTAGCCTGTGTGCGGCCTCGATGTCCGGGGCCATGAAGCGGTCCTTGATCCAGGGCCTGCGGGAGACAGCCCGTCAGCTGCGTGCGGGCGCGCCCAGGCCTATGCGGGGCGGGCGGGCCCGGGCGTGGGACTCACCTCACCACCGAGCGCACCAGGTCGTAGACCTTCTCCAGCGGCGTGGTCGTGCGCAGAGGCCGCAGGAACTCGATGCCCTGGCAGGCCGCCAGCAGCTCGATGGCCAGCACTGAAAGGAGAGGGCAGAAGGTGCTGACCGCAGCGGCTTCACTGTGAGGGCTCGATCGCCGGAGCCGGCGGCCACCCCGGCCACTGATGGACAGCTGCCTCGGCTGTGCCGCCGTCCGCGGCAGGGCCAGGGGGCCTTGGTGTTCGGCTGCCATTTCACACTTGCGTTGGGAACTCTCACCTTTGAGGGGGAGAGGGGAGAACTGAGAGCCGCACCTGAAAATGACCAGACGCCCCAGGCGTCCCCAGGAAACTGAGACCTTTACTTGAACAACAATTAGACCCCCTAGCCCCCCAAGAAGCTGAGACCTGTACCTGAAAAGTGGCTGGACCCCCCAAGTACCCTCCAGGAAGCTGAGGCCTGTGTTTGAATAATGACCAGACCCCCAAGAGCCTCCAGGAAGCTGCCTGTGAGTCTACACCAGCAAAAGCTCTCATTCATACCTTCCCGGCAGGTTTGTTGGCTGGGTTAGGTCACCCAGGAGGGGAAGGGAGTCAGAGCGAGTCCCTGACACCAGCCCTGGGCCCAGTTCTGTCGAGCGGTGTCACCCGAGTCCGGTGGGCTTCACGCAATCCAAGACAAGAAGTCAAGCATTTCCACCCTCTACTCAGGCCAACTGCCTAAGTTTTCTGACCAACTTTAAGCTTCTAAACCATTTTCTTGGCAAATAGTGGAATCCAAAGCGGTTTGACGCCGAATTATATTGCTATAACAAAATTCTTCATAAACTAGACTGCATCCAATGCAGAGAAAGGCAGATTTCAACACTCAAACTTGATCGAAAGGTGTGGAACATTCAGTAAGCATTCTTAGCTGAGAAAGGCTGCCTAAAGATGGTTTTATCGGAAAACTTCCGGTGGGCAAGAGACTCGTTTCTGGAATGCCGGTTCCAGGGGACCCTGAAGCCTTCACATTGGAAGTTCGATGCCAGCGTTCTGGAGTGAGCGCCAAAACCCTGAGACCCACCCGCTCAGGCACGGCTCCTCCAAGTCTGTGCTGTAGGTCTGCGTGCTGGGAGTCTTGAGCCCAGGGAAGAGCAAGACCGAGAGCAGCTGGAAGTTTCCAGAAAGGTGGGACTAGAAAGCAGCAAAGCCAAGCGGGGAGGTGAGGGGTCAGAGAGACTGTCCGCCCAAAGCCGCTGAGATGCCCGGACTGAACCCCAGTGGGCTGCCAAGCCAGCGACCTCGCTGCCCAAGCCCCAGTTTCACAGGGACCACAGAGGCCTGGCTACAGCCGCACACCCTCACACGCAGAGACTTCCTTCTGAGCTCACTTGCACAGCAGGACCCGTGAAACAGTCTTCCAGAGGAAGTCCCGGGAGCCACAAGGGCACTGGCTCCCCGTCTGGCGATCCACATGGTGGCCCAGGGGAGCAGGAAGACGGCCGACGGGAGCCAGCCCGGGATCAGACTCCAGCCGTGCCGATTACCAGCTTCATAACCATGGGCACATTGTTCCGCCCGAGCCTTGGTCCCTGCTCTGTAAAACGGGATAAGAGTACACACCTCCCAGAGCTACTGTGCAGGGTACCTGAATTAGGCGACAAAACGCCCGCAGGAAATGCTCCGTGAGTGTTGGTGACGGCAGGCAGCCTCAGAAGAAGGGCACTGTCAAGATGCCCCTGAAAAGTGATCGTCAGCAAGACAAGCGTGGAGCTCGCTGGGAAAACCTTCCATGGCCACCTCGGGCATGTGGCTGCACCCTCCCTCGGCCAGCAGCTCTTCCTGAAGCCCTGGCATGCAGAAGTCCAGCCCTCCACTGTTACAAGTTCAAGGGGTCTAAGGTATCTGACGTAGCTGGGTGTTTTGTTTTTGAGTTGGAGTCTCACTCTGTCACCCAGACTGGACTGCAGTGGCCGCTCCTGGCCACCTCAGCCTCGACCTGCGGGCTCCAGCGATCCTTCCGCCTCAGCCTTCCAAGTAGCCGGAACTACAGGCGTGCGCTACCACGCCCGGCTAATTTTTTGATTTATTGTAGCGAAGAGGTCTCGCCAAGTGGCCCAGGCGGGTCTCAAACCCACCGGGTCAGGCAATTCACTCACCTCAGCCTCCCAAGGCACGGGATTACAGGCTGAGCCACCGAGCCCGGCTAGCTGGGTGTTTTTCATAGTGTTTTCATTGATTGTGAAAGAAGCCCATATTCTGTGGTCTCATAACCACCTTCAACCCTCCAAAAAATTGTGGTCAACATGCTGGAAATATCTGACAAGTCATGGAAATACTTTCTGGTTTTCCCTGATCATTTTCTTCACCTAACAGAGCACCATTCACATGGTTAAAAGGATTCCAAGCAAGTCAGCGATGGCCTGCTCAAGCACACTGCAGACACGTCCTGCTTGGAGGCCCTGCAGGTGTGTGTTCCCAGGGGCTGGAAATGTGGACGCCCCCACGCCCCGTGTCCGAGGCTGATTCACGCCCGTGTTCCTTTCACTAAGGACACAGGGCCTTGCATTCCCCTCCCAGACCCCAGCCCCCGAGCCCTGGAAGCCGTGCCCTTGGACGGGACCAGCCCCCCACGGTGGGTGGTTGCGCTGTGGCGATGCCTTTTCTCTCTCCCAGGCTCTGCTCTGGCCCCTTCCCTCGCTTCCGCTGCCCAGAGCACCAGTCTTCATCCCAAATCCAGGTCTTTCCTGAGTGCTGGCATCTCACCTGATGTCCTACCAATGTCTCCGTCTCAGCGTCCCAAGACAGTTTGTTTTGTGCACACCCTCTTTCCTTTCTCTTGCAAAACGAACACACGCACACATACACATACACGCCAGCTCTATTTCTATTTCTTGCTCAGGTCTTAATCATAAGCTCTTTCTCACAGATGTCTCTTCTGGTCCCTTCAGGCTAGACGAGGCTCTGTGACGTCCTTCCAGAACTCCCTCTTCTGCCAGACTTGTCTTGAGTGCTGCAAAGAGTCGCGAGCTGTCCAACACCCGCTCTAGACTTTAGTTCCCAAAAGGGCAGAGGCTACGTGATCCCATCCACTGCTTGATCCATGTGCTCGAGGGATGACACCTTCCCACGATCAGGCGCCCCACACTGGTCCCTGCGCCATGTGGAATCTCTAAGAGCCGTGATAGGCGTGGGCTTCTCTTAAACTCACATCCAGCACCGCTGGTGTCCAGGACTTACAGGAATGTATTTGGTATCTACGATGGGAGCAAACTGAAGTCCCACTGAGCATGCTTGAGACACACACTCCAGTTCCTTTTCGGTTTCTTCCCTTCTAACCACACCTCCCTGGTTCGCACGCGGAGAATCACATTGGACGAGCCAGACCTAAGGTTTGGACCCACGGCGCCAACCTGGCTGTCATGCAGATCTCTGAGCACCAAGCCTGCCAGGTGCTGTTCCAGGTCCATTGAGGACCGCCAGCGAGAGGACAAGCACCTGCCCTTGGGAGCATGGTTGCTGAGGAAGACAGCAAGCCGGCCTCCGTCAGAGGGGCTGAGAGCCATTGGGGATGTGAAGGAAGGGAAGGCGAAGGCTGGCCAGGGTCGCCCGGAGGGCGTCTGAGCTGAAATCTGGGCAGTTCCATGAGGAGTGAGGAGGGGAGCCGGTGAGGCCCTCGGGACAGCCGCGTGAAGGTCCCCAGCAGGGAACAAGGGGTGGGTCCGAGCACAACACAGCAGGTCCTGGTGGGACAGGAGGGTGAGAGAGCCAGAGGCAGCTCAGGCTGGCCTGGATCCAGAAGGGCTGGGTTTTGTTTGGAGCCACAGGACGTGACGAGCCCATTTTCACTGGAGCACGGTAGGGTCTAAAGCATGTTTTCAGAGGCTGCCCTGGTCACTGTGGGCAGTGAGTGTGGAGGACAGATGTGTGTTCTTTGAAGGCTGAGTCGACCTGCCGATGAGCGGGAGAGGTGTGTGGATGGACAAGGGGGGCTCACGACCCTCTCAGCCAGAGCCACGTGTTCGGCAGGGAAGCCATGTGGCCACTCGAGGGAGACAGATAACAGCGGGGGCTGCCAAGGGACGTGGCAAAGCCACAGCCCCCACTTTGCTGCTGGGAACCTCACGTGGACGGTCACGTCGAGGGGCAGTGGCAGCTCCCCAGAAAGAGGAGGTGGAGTGAGCCCACGACCCGCCCTAGGGAGGTGGAAATGTCTGCCCACACGAAAAACCTGCACGTGTCCGTGGCAGCGTCATTCTCGTTAGCCAAAAGGTAGAAACAAGCCAAACTTTCAGATGAGTAAACAAAGTGTGGTCTGCCCACACGATGCAAGACCATCAGTCAGTCAAAGGGAACCAAGTACCGACCCGCTGCAACGCGGTTGAGCCTTGAAAGTGTGATGCAAAATAAGGGACGCCCGACCCAGAAGACTGTGTGGCTCCTCTGCGTGAAATGTCCAGAACAGACAAGTCTCTGGGGCCAGAAAGTAGTTGCAGGGAGGGTAGGGAGCAGCCACGGTGCAGGCTTCCTTCTGGGCTGATGAAAATACTCCGAAACGGATCGTGCGATGGTCACACACTCCCGGACTGGACTAAAACCCTGAGCCGCCACCATGAAGGGTGGATTGCGAGGCGTGGGCATCGTCACTCAGAGCAGCTGTTCCCCGAGAAAGAACACGCCACCCTCGCGTTGATCTTATGGGTGTGGGAGTCTGCGTCAGCCACCTGTTCCAACCGTTGCATGAGCTGAGGAAGCAAGGGAACGACGCCCAGGGGCCAAGGCCGACGGTGACCAGGAAGGCAGAGAGAGGCTGGCCCGCCCTGCTCTCCCTGTGAAGGATCTTTGCAGAAAGCTTGGCCCTCATCTTACCCGAGCCTTTAGGATCGACGGCAGTGTCCACAGAACAAGTTAAAAGGAATGCCAGCAGTAGACCAGCCTGGTTTCTCAACTCGTCAGTGACAGGAAGAAGGAAAGGGAGACAGGACTGCCCTAGACGAAGAGACTCTGAAACCACGACCGCCAAATGCAAAACGTGGCCTCCAGCCCCGACGGGAAGAACCCACCGGAGACCCGGATTAACTGGAGAAACCCGAGCGTGCACTCAGTGACAGCCCCAGCACACTGGGGCGTTTTCCTGGATGTAACCAGGGCACCATCCTGGATCAGGTGCGTGTGTGCTTAAGAAAGATGGCCTGCGGGGTAAAACGGCGTGGCATAGCGGGCTTGCTGGAAAACAGCTTGGGACAAGCAGAGAAAGACGGACGCGCAGGGCTAAGGGTTGACGTGAGGGAGGAGTATGAGGCTCCTGGGACAACGTGCTCCTCGTCCAAGTGTGTTTTAAAAGCCTCTTAAAAAAACAGCCAGCCAGGGAGCCGGCTCGGCCCTGCACAGCCTGTGGTGCTCAGTTCCCAGCGAGCGCCCCCTGCAGGGCTGGTGAGACGCAGGCTGCCCCCGCCACCCTGGACGTTCTGATTCAGCACGGCCGGGAGGGCCCGGGAACCTGCATTTGCAACCAGTTTCCCGGGGTTGCCGGGGCTCCAGCGGGGAGTCCACTTTGAGAACCACTAGATGGTGGCCGCCGTCGGGTTACCTTGTTCCACGTGCTCGATGACCCTGAGGGCCTTCCTGGCTGCCCATCCTCCCATGGAGACGTGGTCCTCCGTGGCCGCACTGGTGGAGAGGGAGTCCACGGACGAGGGGTGGCACAGAGCCTTGTTCTCGGAAACTGCGGGAGACAGAGTGAGTCAGGGCGCTCCTGTGAGGCCCGCTGCCAAGGAGACCGGCCGTCCCCAAGGAGCGCGGGGCGGCACGCCTCCTCGGGGCTCGTGGCCACCAGCCAGGTGCTTGGGGAGGGAGGCGGGTCAAAGTTTCCCAGTTGAGAAGGACGCCAGAGCTCAGTCCCCAGGGGAGACCGGGATGGGTGCTGGGGACTCCATGCCAGCGAGGCCAAGCCAGAAGCCTTGGGAGCCTTTAGCATGCCAGGGGACTAGGGAAAGAAAGGCGCAGCGGCCGTTTCCAGGTACCAGAGAGCAATCCCACCGGTTGTGTCACCAGAAGAGGTGGGATTAGAATCCAGGGGTGGCATTTGGGGACCTAGCCTGGACCCACAGGTCTTGGGCAAGAAGGTGGAACAGTGGCCAGGTGCGGCGGCTCATGCCTGTAATCCCAGCACTTTGGGAGGCCAAGGCGGGAGGACTGCTTGACATCGGGAGTTTGAGACCAGCCTGGGCCACAAACATAGCAAGACCCTGTCTCTGAGTCTTAAACTAAATACTTTTCCTTTTATAGAAAACATAACAGTTTGGACTGTTCGAGGATGTACTGGGCCTCAGCAAGGCTTGGGGCCTGCCAGAACTTTCCCTGGGACGTGGCATGATTCTCAGGCTGGCCGAGACAGGGGCCCCTCGAGCTGCCCTGGGCTGAGGAAGCCCGCAGGGACCTTGCTGTGATGAGGACGCTGGGCTCGCGGTCCTAACAGACTCCGGCGATGGTCACGCGGTAGGTCTGAGACGACGCTTCGCTTCGCGAGGACCCGGAGGAGGAGCTTCCTTCTCCCCGCTCCAGAAGTCGAGCAAAGCCAGACTCAGAGTTTTGCCTCCTGTCTCTTCGACTGTGTGGCCGAGAGGCACTGCAGTCGTTTCCTGTGCTCCAAGGGATCCCATCCCAAGATGAACCCGCTTTCCACTGGCGTGATCCGCTGGCCCTGTGGGTTTCGGCGCTGTGGTTCCGGGGTCCTCGGGCCCCAGGCCGAGGCCTAAGGACAAAGCTGTGGCGAGGCTGGTTCAGGAAAGTCACTTACAAGTGACAAAAGAACGACACGATCTGGGGACAAGAAGCACAGGCTGAAGCTGAAGAGCCACGCGGGCAGCTCGGGCCGTGGGACGCGTTCCCGCGAGGCTCTGCCTGCACAGCGTTCCCCAGAAACCAGCGGCCTCCCGCTGTGTCCCTGAAGAATTCTCTCCCGGCGAAAGGGAGTTTTAACAGGCAAGTCAGCGGGTGGGGACACGGGCTCTGTGGGCCCTGGGTGGGCTGTGGGCGAGGCTGGGAGAGGACGCCTCCGTGCGGTCAGGCACTCGCGGCGTGCTCTCGATGGCAGGGCTTCATGCCCGCATGCCACCTTCCAGATGGCCCCACTGGGCAAGCCAAGCATTGCGCTTTATGCAGGTGTAGACAGAGTCCACGGGACTGAGAGGTGGGCTGACATTCCACACCAGTAAAGGGGAGAGCCAGCCTCAGAGCCAGCATCTACATGCCCAGGTAACCCGGGGTGACCTGCCTTTGGGGTAGGTGGCTCCATGAGGCACAGGACGCCTGCTAAGTTTGGGTTTCAGACTGAAAAGCAAACCCTCTTTTAATATACGTGAGTCTCAGATCATTCCGATTTAACGGGGTGTCCGGTTCTCGTCTGTTGAATTTGGCTGTCCTCTCTTAGGGTGGAGTGTGATTCCAGTGAGGTCCTCGTTCACTAAGGTGAGAGCACATCTCCAGGCCCAGGCTTGGGTTCTGCTCGGTGCTGGCCCAGCTGTGCAATCCTGGGCGAGGCACTGCACCTGCCGATCGCCTTCACGCCTCTGTGAGATGGAGATGGTGGCAGTCCCCACCTCGCAGCCTTGGAGGGACAACTCAGCGGGTGGCGGTGAGTGAGGCTCCGGGCCTGTCTTGCTTTGTCTCTCGTCTGCCCTGCATCATCCCGAGCTGGAAGTCAGCTGTGTCGAGGCCCGGTGTTCGTAGCAGGTGTCCTGCTCCTCCCAGGCTTTTTTGTACGCTGCAGCCACATCTTACATGTGTGGTGGCTGATACACTTGAGGTTTAATCATTCAGGCCGGTCCAAGTTCCACCGTGAACCAGAAGCATGTCTGTCCTTTTCCTTCTGAGAGTCTCGAATTGAGATTTGGGGGGAAAGCAATCGAGGTGGAGTTCACACGCAGGTCAAACGGCCTCCCCAGAGAAATTATCATTCACAACCTCGTTGCTATTTTGCTATGTTTCAGTATGGCATTATTTAGGCCTTCAAAACGATTTGAACATTTTTATATTTTTAGAGACAGAGTCTCACTGTGTCGCCCAGGCTGGAGTGCAGTGGCACAATCATAGCTCGCTGCAACCTCGAATTCTTGGACTCAAGGGATCCTTCCGCCCCAGCCTCCTGAGAAGCTGGGACCACAGATGCATACCACCACACCCAGTTAATTTGTAAAAAAATTTTCTAGAGATGTGGTCTCACTGTGTTGTCCAGGCTGGTCGCAAACTCCTGGACTCAAGCAATTCTCTCACCTTGGCCTCCCTAAGTGTGAAATTATAGGTGTGAGCCACCACCATGACCGGTCTTTATTTTTTTTTTGGTAGAGATGAGGTCTCACTATTTGCCCAGGCTAGTCTGAAACTCCTAACCTCAAGCAATCCTCGGTCTCTCAAACTACTGGAATGATAGGTGTGAGCCACCACACCTGGCTATCTAAGTTTAAAAAATTTTTTTTCCCTAGGAAGTCTTGAGGAACTTGCCTGCTCCATTTGTACCAAGAGAGGGAGGGTGCAAAGAAAAATGGCAAAACCCAGACCTCGTTCGACGGCAAAGTTGGCGACTTCCAGGTGACACAGAGAGGCCCTGAGGAGGACCGGCCCCGGCGGGGAAGGCGGTGCCCTTACCGAGGGCCGCGGCCGTGCAGTGGGCGATCATGAAGCCCGAGTTCAGCCCGCCCTCGGCCACCAGGAAGGCGGGCAGCTCGCTGAGGGACGGGTTGCAGAGCCGCTCGATCCTCCGCTCGCTGATGGCCGCCAGCTCGTGCACACCGATGGCCAGGTAGTCCAGGGCCTGGAAGAGCGTCCAGGTCAGTCGGTCTGCCCGGGACACGCCTCTGGAGCCGGGAGAATCTGGACGCTCACCTTGGCGGGGTATTCCCCGTGGAAGTTTCCTCCGGAAATGGTCTCCCCTTGGCTGGCGAAGACCATCTATCGGGCAGGTTAAGGCGTGACCGAGGCACGTGTGATCCGCCCAGGCGACTCCTCCCACTTCAGCCCTGCCGGCCCTGAGGGTGGCGTCCTGATGGCAGTGTGGCCTGGGGAGAGGGACGAGCCTCCCACAAGCAGCTGCGGGCACGAAGGGGCACAAGAGCCAAAAAGAAGCCCACCTTGAAGGTCTCCACGTGATGCCGGATCCCTGCGTGCCCAAGAGAGTCTGAGGCTCGAACCTGCCCGCAGAGTGTGCCCAGGGCACCTGCCTGAATGCAAATCCCATCTCTTCCCGAACACCAAGGCTTATGCTCCACCAAACAGACGGCTCTGGGGAATGTCCCTGGAGCACAAGCAGCAGACGGCGGCCAACGGGCCCCTCACGTCCCCCTGAGGAGGTGGCGGCTTGGCACTCGCTGAGATGATGCCCCTCTCTCGCACCCGTCCCTTAAGCCAGGCAGCGCCGGATCGAGGCCGTCACGGGTGCCTGAGGAGCTGGCGTTGGCCTCCCAGGCCGAAGGCCGCTCTCCCCAGGCGCCCAGGAACTCACTGCCTGGCAGGCTCTGGCTGCCGAGGCGCTGGAGATGCGGGCATCACGCCGTGCCCAGGCCTCGGGCATCTCCCCACCTCCGGCCCCTGCCGCGGCTGGGCCCTGCACCCGGCTAGAGCAGAAGCGTGCCTTCTCCCCTGGCTGTCCCACACTGGTGTGCGGGTCAGTGGGTTGCAGCACCCGGGGTTAAACTCCGTGAGGACCAGCAGGGCGAGAGGGTGACAGGCGTGCTGTCTCTGCGAGGGCAATGTGTCCTTTCGGGGAGCGCCAGTGCTGCAGGAGAGGCCCAGAGAGCTCTGGTCGGGAGTTTGTCCACAACGAAGAACCTCCAGTTGAGAAAGCGAAGTCTCGGGCTGAGAGTCTTGCCAGGGCAAGCGGCCGGGAAGAGTCTGGTGGGGAATGGTCCCCTCCCCCACACCGGGCACTTAATGGCGATTTTCTTTAACGCCACAAGATACATTGTGCCCGTGTGGAGTATATGCCTGTCCCTCCCGGGCAACTGGGAATGAGACAGGACCACTGAGAGCCAGGTGCGGTGGCTCACTCCTGTCATCTCAGGGCTTTGGGAGCCTGAGGCGAGAGGATTGCCTGAGCCCAGGGGTTCAAGACCAGCCTGAGCCACCTTTCAAGACTTCATCTCTACAAAAAGTTAAAAAGTTAGCTGGGCCTGGTGGCACACGCCTGACATCCCAGCTTTTTGGTAGGCTGAGGCAAGAGGACAGCCTGAGCCCAGGGGTTCAAGACCAGCCTCATTGCTACAAAAAGTAAAAAAATTAGTCAGGCCTGGTGGCATATACCTATAGTCCCAGCTACTCAGGAGGCTGAGGCAAGAGATCACCTGAGCCCAGGAGGTCAACGCTGCAGTGAGTGGTGATCATGCCACTGCACTCCAGCCTGGGCAGGAGGCTGAGACCCCAACTCAAAAAAATAAAACAAAACAAGATCACAGAGAGTTGGTGAAAGCCGCTCCTCAAAGGGCAGGTGGTGCTGGTGACCGGAGAGACCAAGCCAAGCCATTTTCTGTGTGGGTTTGTCTTCACTGTGAAGTCTGAGAGACACTGAGAGACATAAAAACACAGCCTGGAGTGGGCCGTCAGAGGAGGACCCTGGCACGGCCGCGTGTCACCATCTATACCAGTCTGGGCGTCCAGAGGGGCTCGCTGGACACACCCTCTGGTTCTGAGAACCAAGGCACATGGAGAACAGGAAAAACAGGCCCATCGGGCAGGTGGTGCTCCTGGCCGTGCCTCTCGGCGCCGGGAACTAAGCCATCACGGAACAGCCCACAGAGAAAACCAGGGGCTCTGGGCAAGCCACGCCACTCAGGAGACAGCACCCACGCCGGAGACGTGGCAGTGTTCTGACTGTTCCTTGAGCAAATATGGAGGCACCGATTTGAATCAAGGCCACATCGGAAACAAACACCCAAGACGGGCACGCCATGACCCTTGGACCCACACTTTGGAAAGTGCTAGGAGCCACCTTTGAGTGAGTGCGTCCTGATGGCACCAGGCCCAGGGAGGCCTCGCCAACAGAGGCCTGCGACCGAGGCTCCCGGCCTTCAACGGCTGCTGACGCCCTCAGTGGCAGGTCTTGGGGCGAGGGTCTTCACGAAGCCGACTGCCAGCACCAGAATCTCCTCTGAGCGTCACCAGGCCGGTTTAAAGCACAGACCCGAGAGCAGCCTGACAGCCCGTCTCTGCCACCGCCAACCCTGACCTGGGGATGTCACTCTGCCTCCAAGCCTCGGAACCACGTCCTGATCCCTGAGATGGCACGGCAGCGCCGAGACGCCACCCAGACGGCCGCCCAGCGGGCCCGAAGACAGCCGCACGTCTGCCCCGCCCCCCCAGGCGATGCAAAGGATACGGGGTTGTCCGTGGCACTATTGAGCTCCGTGGTGATGATGCCTTTCACGAACGCGATCGTGTCGTTCACCACGCCGTGGACCTGACAGACAAGACACCTGCCCTTTAGCTCCCTGGGTGGGGTGAAGCCGTGGGAACCACAGGCTGTGCGGTTGGAATGTGTGGGGAACCTTTGGTAAGGCTGAGCTCTCGCGGAGACAAGTCAGAATGAACTCTGTGACCGGGCCCCCAGAGAGCGAGCGCGACAAACCGCGTGTGCCGGGGAGGGTGTTACGCCTGGCAGACTCGCCGGGGTCCGTGGCGGGATGCGAGCAAGGGGCTCACATTTCCGTGTGGACAGCAGCAGGCTCGGAAGTAGGCTGTGGCCCTGACCTCGCCGCTCGTGGGACGCAAAGACAGCAGCGTGACACGCTCCTGGCTGTGACGAGGATCCCTCAGATGGGAGCGATGGTGCAAGGGGCAGAGCTCACGAAGCTTGAAGGTGTCGCGTGGGAGGGTGCCTCCAGGCAGCCGCCCTGTGCCAAGCCCAGAGATGGCAACCGAGGCCAGAGACAGTGGCCGAGCCCAGAGACAGCCGCCACACCGAGAGAGAGCAGCCGAACCGAGAGATAGCAGCTGAGCTGAGAGACGGCAGCCGAGCCCAGAGACAGCAGCCAAGGCGAGAATCAGCTGCCGAACCCAGAGACAGCAGCTGAGCCCAGAGACAGCCGCCACACCGAGAGAGAGCAGCCGAACTGAGAGATAGCAGCTGAGCTGAGAGATGGTAGCCAAGCCCACAGACAGCAGCCAAGGCCAGAGACAGCAGCCACCCCATGCTGAGCCCAGAGATGGCCATGATGGAGCCCAGAGACGGCCAGGGTGCCTGCCTTCTTCTGGCTTCTCTCATAAGTCAAGCAAGTGACAATCTGGCTGTGAGATCTTGGGCAAAGGACTTAACTCTGTGTCTCAGTTTCCCCACTGTAGACTGGGAAAAAGAATACCTCTCTCACAGCTGGGGAGATTAAACGAGTGAACGCACGGAAGACCATGATCATGGTGCCCGTCATGAAGTCTGATGTCATTGTTAAAAGATCGGGGGACCAGGCACAGTGGCTCATGCCTGTAATCCCAACACTTTGGGAGCCCAGCAGGAGTGCTTGAGGCTAGCCTGGGCAACAAAGCAAGACCCCCCACCCCATCCCTATAGAAAAACGAGCCAGTTGTGGTAGCCCGTGCCTATGGTCCCAGTGACTTGGAAGACTGAGGTGGGAGGATCGCCTGAGCCCAGGAGTTTGAGGCTGCGGTGAGCCGTGATCATGCCCCTGCCCGCCAGCCTGGGAACAGACACATCTCGGGGGTCTCAAGCCAGAACCCCTTCTTCCCATGGAGCAGCTTGGCAGCCCTGGCCCACAGTCGCCTTCGATCTCTTGTTGAAGAGGCTGGCCAGTGTGAGGCCCGCCCAGTACCAGGAACGAGGGGATTTATTCCAGGGAGGACTGTTTGCTCTGTAGGGTGGAAGGCTGGAACTTGGCACACGCTGGAGTAGTGTTTCTCGAGACGCCCGTCGGTCTCTCCGATGGCCGTGTGCAAAGAAGTTTCGTGTCTGCAATGCAGGACGCCCGGGCCAACCCAGCCCCTCCGCTGCTTTCGCTGGACGCCAAGCCTCACAAACACATTCACACCGTGGACCTGCCTACCAAGCGCAAGCCAGGCCTGACCGTGCACAGGCACTTGGATTCTGAGATGGCACGATGAGACTTTCCCGCCAATGTCGCTGCCTGGCGGGTTCAAGTTTTGCCCAACAGGGAGAACCAGCAAAGCTCTATGAACTGGCTGTGAGTGTGTTGCCGCTGAGAATCCGTAGAAGTCAGGACACCGCGTCAACACAGCAAGGTGTCCGTGGGACCCCGGAAGTGGGCTGAGCAAGGCGGTTCAGAAGAAACAAAGAGCTGACCTCACAGAGTCGACGCCCATCGGCATGGACACTGGAAGCCCCACGCACACAATTCTTCACGGCGGCAGGAGGGGATGTGGCTTATAATTGCCCATACGTGTTTTCCTGACACTTTCCTCTTTTTCTTTTTAAACACCTTTTGCCCTGAATCTGGGGAAGGAGAGACACTCGCAGCTTTTCGTTCTTACCTGCGGACAACAGCGCAAGGTATACGCGTCCTGGACGCGGTCGCAGAACCTGTGGCTTTCTGCGGGAGAGGCGGGGTGGGGGACAGGACCGCGTTAGCAACGCGCTCCGCCAACCGCAGCCACACAGCCATCCACACAACAAGCCTGAACCTTACCCGCGATTTCTGACGGGTGATGATCCGAGTCCAGGAGTGACCGAAACCGGAAGGCAACTTCAGTCTGCCCACGGTGAGGGCGGAGAGCGTGAATGTCTAGCAGTGAGGAAGGAGGGAGAAGTCTTGAGTAAGTCTTATGTTGCAATGAATGACCACTGGCAGGGCGTGGTGGCTCGCACCTGCGATTCCAGAATTTTGGGAGGCTGAGGCCAGAGGACTGCTTGAGGCCAGGAGTTGAAGACCAGCCTGGGCAACATAGCGAGACCTTCTCTCTACCAAAAATTTTTTTTTAGTTAGCCGGGCGTGGTGGTGTGCACCTGTAGCCTCCACTACTCAGAGAGCCTGAGGCGGGAGGATCACTTGAGCCCAGGAGGTCAAGGATGCAGTGAGCTTTGATCATGCCACTCCAGCCTGGGTGACAGAGTGAGACTCTGTCTCTGAAAAACTAAAAACCAAGAAATAGAATGAATGACCACTGATGATGCCAGACCATCCAAGGTGCCGGCCTGGCCTCGAAAGCCCAGGGGTCCTTATCCGCCCCTGGAGTTAGAAATTTCAGTCCAAAAGCACGGCGGCCCCTGTGGACGCCAGTCTTCCCACTTGGCATATCTGAGTGCAGACGGCATGCTGAGCCCACCAGGCGTTCGGCTCCAGACACGGGCCCGGCCGGGGGACAGCCGGGCAGGTGGCGGCAGGGGCTCCGGGGCGTCCCTGAACGGAGTCCCTGGGGGCCCGTCTCCGCCCTGCTCCGTGCTACAGCATCGGGCATCGGGCACCCACCGCTCTCTCTGGATGAGCCATAGCCTCTTTTCTCTCCCAGTTTTCCAGTCGGGACCCACCTTCATCCTACCCTGGCCCTACAGTCCTGGGAGCAGAGTCCCAAGACAGCACGCGGGCTGGGTCCCCCGGGTCCCCAGGCGACCCAAGTGGTGACTCAGCGTCTGTCCACGGGCTGGCGCGAGGATCGGTTGGCGCCCCTGAGAGGCAGCTGCGGGCCCAGGGCTGCCACGGACACTCGGTCTCCTTCCCTCCAACCCCCACCCATGTCTAAAGACCCCGCCCACCCCCA